TTCATTGGCTGTGTTGGCAAGTATAAGCACAAGCCCAATACATCTCTTTGTAACTTACTTGAGACGGCGATGTGCGGAATGTCTTTACCAACGGCCTTTTCGAAGGGACCAACACACAATTCTTGAAACTTTGCTCCTGTCTCCTCAGCAAGACGTGCATTTCGGGTTTCCCGATCCAGATATTTGTTGTGTTTGTGGAACTCTAGATTGTTACCATATTCAACCTGCTCTACCAACTTATCATATTTGGTAAAAACGGTGATCACAGGAACTAAAGTGAACAGTGAGCCATTGTCGATCAGAAAACACCAAGAACCTACCAGGGCCAAGTTCTCCTTTGGACTTCATATGGAATAACTCCTCCACCCCAGCCTCGAACAAACGATCACCTTTAGACAAGGACACTGGGAAACAAAGCCTGCACAATACCTTCATCATCTTGTTCACTCAAGTGATTGAGGAGTGGTAAACATACCAGACAGCATGTACCTGATCCCTCACATTGGGCATGTCCTTCCGAACTTTCAAAAAATCAACGACTTTCTTGAAGTTGTCACCCTCCCCATGCTCGAAGCCCTGACTGTCGTGTAGAACAAATCTTCCGTTTTCGCTGGCTATAATCTCAGTATTGATATCCGACACGCCAGCTTCTGAATGAGCCACGGTCTGGGGAAGGACAAGCTTTAGCAGCGGATCTTGAGAAGACGGGGAAGTGACCTCACAGCATCCTTGACGCCAAAGCATTCGTTGATAAGGGAAGATTTCCCTACACCACTCTGTAAAAACAAACTGTGAGCTAATACCTGAGAATAGAGGTATAAGAGAGCTACTTTGCCGATGACCAGGACTCGGAACCTAGTGGTAAGGTAAGTCAGAGTAGTCGGGGATTAAGCAGACTAACCGTTTGACCAACTTGAATAACTCATCTGTTGTGGGTTGTAGGTTGCCACTCGTCGGAGGTTCTGCCATGGTTAAAGCATTCTAAGATCGATAGCAACCGCATTAGGCGGACGCTTTTGCGTTTGAGGAAGAAGTGCACACACGCCTGCGTATTGGCTAAACTTCAGGACGACATCGAACTTGTCAAATGATTTTGACCATTCTAGAGTAGAAAGTCCTGCATCAGCAAGACAGGAGCGATTGCAGCAGGGAGGCACTTGCCTTGTTTTCCGGAGAAGTGGGGGCCGACCTTGCTTAGCAGTTCATCGAGAGGTATCTTGCTCTTCGACACAGCACGAAACAATCTGCGGAATCGGACTTGCAGATAGAGGGGCTCTGAAACGGAAAGTTGACTGCTTTGATTGGGTTTGTCGTCCAATGGTACACATGATCATCGGCTCACCAGGGGGATGACAACTCAAAGTTGTGGGTCTTTGCATTCAGGAGACAAGGTGATTCCCGCTCGAACGATCCAATCGAAAGTTGGACCGATTTGAGGATGTGCTGGGATTCAACGCGGATTTCTAGTCAATGGGTGTCAGATATTTGACCTGCGTGCAAAAACCTGGGAGGTTACCTGTAAGAGAGCTAATAGACAGTGGTGGTGCTGCAGCAGCACTTCTCGATGATGGCCATTGCTCAGATCCTCAACTTCCAAATGGCAACAGCATGCGAGATTACTTGGAGCCCCTCCAATCCAATATATCTTGTGGAACAAGAGGGATTCTACTATTCAAGAGTGTGGTATTTCATATTCCGAAAGCTACAATAAGCATGAGCATGATAAATTTTCAGGCTTTGGGGACATCCCAAGGCTCATCTTCAACATTGTCAAACCCCTCCTCCATCGTGAATTGTAGCTTGTCCATGTCCTCGGGGTTCATCTGGTAGTTCTTGATCAGTCGAAGCATCTCCGCAAGTGCTGCATCCTGATCGGTGCGACCTGCCAACTTCATGTGATCCCGAATCTCATTGTGGACTTGAATTCTGTCTCGTGAACTGTTGTATGTGGCAAAGGCGAGCTTGATCAGGCAACGGGTAAGGCGCAGATGGGCATTAACCACAAGGCCAAAGATGATTTGCATGATGATGGTGAAATCAACGATGTACGCCATTAGACGTTGTACAATAAGCTCCCTGGAAGTTTGTCAATTAGTATTTCACTGCATACGTAGGAACCTGAGAACGCACGAATGCTTATACACATCATATCCCCACTTTGTGAGGACTACAGCTGCAGCAATAGGAATCACGATAGGAGCATCGGGTCCGGATAAACCCCCAATGAGCACAGTTAAAGCACCAAGTAGCGGGGAAGCCTTAAGACTGACTACTTGTGTGAGAAACAAGGTGATAATAGTTAAAAAAGCAAACTCACATTGTTGTATTGGGATTCGTCAGCTCGTCATATTGCTCTCCCGCAAGTGTGGTCATTAATGCCTTGAACTCCTTGCTCTCAAGATACTGAGGGAAGATTCTCAGTATGCAAGCATAAGGAGGCATGATAATGACATCTTTACCCCAAATTCATCCTGAATATTCCACACTCGCACAATATCAGTGTGTAAAACTCGAAGGCATGTGTCTATAGTTTCCCCCGGGAAGTTCACGCTGGAAGCAAGGCCCCTCCAATATCCTAGATAGAAGTTAAGTCCCAGTTTAGTGACACAGCGGAAATTTCATACACTTCTTGCCAACTCTTTGACCAGAAGATGTCAGCAGGACGTTCAGAAGACAAACGTCTGTATGCTCACGCAATCACCGCATCGATCTTCAGAGCTGGATTCACACGTTGGGCAACAGCAGAGAGCACTGCGACTTCTTCTGCAACGTCAACCACAAGGCATTCTTTTACGTATTTTGCAGTGAGTGCAGTAAGGTCCTTCAATGTCTTTATGTATTCTTTCTTTGCTGCAATTGTGAATGTGAACACAAATCTAGAGAAAAAAATCGGTCAAGAACTTACTTGAGACAGGAATGTAGGGGACGTCTGGGCTGACCACCGCCCTGAAGGGGTGGACACAAAGTGTTTCAAACCTGTCATTTGTCTCTTTGACCAGAAGTGCATTGCCCACGTCCGGATCCAGGTTTTTCGTGCGGTGCATGAACTCACTGTTGTTACCACATTTGACCTGCGTTACCAGCCGATCATACTTCGTAAAAACGGTGATCACAGGAACTAGATCAAGCGGTGAGTGATTGTCGACCAAAATCGCCAAAAAAACTTACCAGGGCCAAGTTCACCTTTGGACTTCATATGGAACAACTCCTCAACCCCAGCCTCGAACAAACGATTGCCTTCAGATAAGGATACTTGGAAACAAAGCCTGCGCAACACCTTGATCACCCCTATACAAAGTGATCGAGAAGCGGTAAACATACCAGACAGCATGTACCTGATCCCTCACATTGGGCATGTCCTTCCGAGCTTTGAGAAAGTCGACGACTTTCTTGAAGTTTTCACCCTCCCCATGTTCGAAGCCCTGACTATCGTGCAGAACAAATCTTCCGTTTTCGCTGGCTATAATCGCAGTATTGATATTTGACACGCCAGCTTCTGAATGAGCCACGTTCTGGGGAAAGACAAGCTTTAGGAGCGGAGTTTGAGAAGAAGGGGAAGTGACCTCACAGCTTCCATGACACCGAAGCATTCATTGATAAGGGAAGATTTCCCTACACCACTCTGCAACAACAAAACTATAAGCTTGTGGATGAGGGAAGAGATGTGAGAGAACTACGTTGCCGATGACCAAGACTCGGAACCTGGCGGCACGGTAAGCCACAACAGTTTGGGATTGAGCAGACTGACCGTTCGACCAACTTGAATAACGTATCCGTTGTGGGTTGCAGATCGCCACTCGTCGAAGATTCTGCCTCGGTTGGAGGATTCTAAGATGGATCGCACCCACATTAGGCGGATGCTTTTGAATTCGAGAAAGAAGTGCACACACCCCCTGGCCTGCGTATTGCCTAAACTTGACTCCAAGGACGACATCGAACTTGTCGAATGATTTCGACCATTCTTTAGAGTAGAAAGTTCTGCATCAACAAGACAGGAGGATTGCAAAAGGGAGGCACTCGCCTTGTTTTCCAGAGGAATGGGGGTCCACGTTGCTTAGCAATTCATCAAAATGTATCTTGTTCTTCGACATAACACGAAACAAATCACGGAATCGGACTCGAAGACAAAGTGGCTCTAAAGATGAAAGTTGACTGCTTGGGTTTAATTTGTCGTCCAATGCTACGCATGATCGCCTCACCAGGGGGATGACAACTCATATGTGTGGGTCGTTCTCCCCAGGCGACAGTATGATTCCCGCTTGAACGATCCGATTGAAAGCTCGACCGATTTAAGAACGCTTCGCGATGTAACGCGGATTTCTAGCATGTGGAAATTAGATGTTCGGCTTCAGCAGTGGCAAAATTTTGGGAGGACTTGCCGAAAATCTCAATGCTGGGGGAGCTTCCACTCCCGGAGGAAGACATGGTGGTTATCAGTGAAAGCGGAGAGATTAGCGCTCAGAACGTGTGATAGCGTTTCAAATGGCAGGTCTGGGAACATGTTAAGTGCCATGGCCTAGCCTCATTCAAATCGCCAGCCGGATCAGAAACTTGATGGGGAGTGAGGCGCTCAACGTCGGCAGCACTGAGTGAGTCTACATAAAGTTTTGTTAAATCTCCAGAGTGAACTTCGATTTCTGAATCTCACACGTTGACATCGCCAGCGAAAGCCATCACTTGGGGGAGAACTAGCGAAGCGGCGTCGTCTATTGGTCGTCCACCTGCAGGACTTCACCGACATGTTAAGTGCCACACGTACTTGAACAAGCCAGGGTCAGCATGAATGGTTGCATTATTTAAACAACAAATCACCTTTGATAGTGTCGTGATTGAGCTGGCAGTGAGTTCGGCGAGTAATTGTTGTGGTCGAGTTCAACACCGTGACGCATAATGATGATCAAAGTCACTTGTCTCTTGCCACCAACAATCACAACCACGGGTGTCTCGTTCTTCATCGTTGAACAAATCTCCAGCAATCCCCTGACAATGTTTGAAAGGCCCAGCTCTGGTTTGGTTCCGATTTCCGTGGAAAGCGTGTCCATGTATGTCGTTTCCTATTAGCGTTCCTTCAGCTTTCATGTGAATCGTTTTTAGATTATATTTTACCCACAACCTCGAGGATGGACCACGAAAATTGATTAAAAATACTTGATGTTCCTCTCAGCCGTCTTCCTGCTCTCCTTGTCAAGTTATGAGGCAATTTAAACGTCGAAGGGCGAACTGTGTTCTCAATTGATCATTCGCGTTACGTGGCGGCCAAAAAATCAACTTTCATGAGCGGGGGAGAGCTGGGCCAGCTGGTTGGGAAGGCGAGGTACTTGCTCAGTCGTCCTCGAACACTCGTTGTGGACTTACCAGCACACTTCACTCAGCGCTCATGGGCGATGCCAACTACCAACATGGCTTTTTAATTCAGCTCTCATCGAAAGTCTTACGACTGCTATGTACGACGTTATCAAGCTAAATGTCACGGATGATATCGCACAACTTGGACTTGCCGTTTGCCCTTCACAAGCCCCAGGCAACGTTAATTTGTTCAAGTGGGCAAGAGTAAGCTCGTAGCGGTCGGACTGGAGCCCCTTGAGAGTTAGCGCTCATCATCCAAGGTACTTCTTTGAGTTATCTCACACTATTCGGCAGTGACTAATCGTTAACTCATGGTGGGCTTCATACTTATGCTCGAGTCGTTTCGCACTGAAACCGCTGTAATGGTCTAGCGAGGGAAGGCTTCAAGTACCGGGCCACCGCCATGGCACACAAATTTCAAAAGAAATACGTTTATCTGGGTGAACATACCCCATCGCTTGATGTACAACATCTGCAACGGGCTTTACGATCCTTCGTTTTGGCTGTGGTAACAAACAACATGTGGACAAGTGGAAGTTTTTGCGGCTTTATCTCAACACAAAACCGTTTCAGCGTATGTGGTCGCTGTTATGAGGCAAAATGATGCGGGGGGGCTTTTCGGAGCCCTGCTACACGACCATCACCTTGCAAGGTTTCTTTAACCCACGAAAACCGACCGAACCCCCGTCGTGAAGAGAGCCACATTGATCTTGAAGCTGTGGCTCCTGTGACGTGTGACCTGCACAAGCTCGTGTGACAGGCATAGTCTGCTCTAACTCGACGCTCGACGTGCAATTCTTGCATCCCCAAGCCAAATAAGGTAAGCTGTAAAAAAACGTGGAATCTCATGGAAGTGCTGTAACGATATCGTTTCTTTGGACAGCCGGAGGGATCCCGTTTATGAATATCCCCGAAGTTACGACTTTGAAGGTTATATCATGGCTGCAAGAAAGGTCTGATTCGCAAGATGCTGGGTAATCTACTATCTGGTAGGCATACATAATACTATGATGATGGATTAACTGCCCAAAACCGTCTGTAGTACCTTACTTACTATTGGTGTCCAAAGAGTCGGTTGCGAAAGCTCTACCTCGAGCCTTTCTGCCTTGAGCATCTCCCCAGAAATCTTGCCTCGACGAGTCGAACCCGCCATCAACCAAGGCATCTTCGTAGTCCTATGTTGGCTCCCCTGCACCCTTCATGTTCTTCAAGACGCATTGAAAGAAGTGATTCTTGCATACATAGAAGATCAAGTGGTCGTATATGCGAGTTCGAGATATGATTGGGGCCTAGGAATGAACCGTGGATATCGCCCAAGCCATGGACGAATGCGGTGATTCGGTAGCCGTCTTAGCATTCCCAAGTTCCCTGTGAAGTGAAGACCTCGAGAAGACGTACGTCGGGGTTGACACCAAACTTGTAGTCGTCCCAGCTTTCGTGGAGGTCTGCGCGGAGGAGGAAGACGTTTTGAATTGAGTCGATTTTTGATTCGTCGGTAGGTCCGCCGAGCTGATCAACTTGAGCTTGAAGGGAGGGTGCCGCCGGGGTCGTTGATGTGCTCGTAGAACCTTGAAGCCACTTTTGGGTTCAGAGCTGTTAAGTAGGGGTAAGATGAAGGTATTTCAAACTGCTTACTCCAGAAAGATGAGTGTTGTGGGCTGCGCGTGATTGGGTCCAGGTGTATGATTCGAGACCTGTTATTAGACATTTTCTGTCACGGTCTCGCGTACGTTCGCGGTATTCATTCGCGGGTCTCTATAAAGTCTCCGCTGAGTCCCATTGACGATGAATAGGATCGAGAACTAACCCCTTCCGGCGTGTTCGAAACCGTCAACGCCCGCCGTCGGTACGTTTCCTGCGTCAGGCCTACAGATCTGAACCTCCATCTCGAAGAAAAATTGAGTCCATGATCTGCAATAGCGCCAATAAGTAACAATAGCCACCTTCTTTCAAGATGATCTATCCGACCAGACTTCACTAGTTCCAGTCTTTTTCGGTCCATGACGGCCGGGCATTATTTCGTCCAGTTTAAATATCGCCCACGAACCGTCCGTTTGGGCGTAGCCATGGGTAGAAGGGAGTCCATGAGACCGTAGCGTCTTCGTACTGCCAGAAGTCTGTAACCGGGTGAAGCTGCTTGGAAGGTGCAGGCTGTTGGCCACGGGAAGGTCCGATCTGATACTACATTCCCGTCGTAGTTTTCGAGGGTCACATACGCTGGGACGTCAGAGGAAATTTTGGTTGAGTGTTCAAGGGGTTTTGCAAGTGAAAGGCTTGAAGTTCGAGGTGCGGAAAGAAGTGTTTGGTTCTAGTGGATGGGACAAAGGATTTATCGTAGCTGATAGGACTCGGAGTTGGAAGAGAGGAAACTGAGTGAATTTGATCCGGTATCTGGGTCCACGCCGATGCATTTTACCTAGACTCGACTCCAGTCTCTATGGAATCAAAACCCGAGGCAACAGATGTGTTTTCTTGGGTCAGTCCGGATTAGGAGGGTTGTGCACCTTTTACCAAACAACCAACTCAATGGCATTTTTTTCGAAGCCAGATCTCAGAGTCAACCTTTTCGTTCGGTGCCGCGACGACTCATGCACCATACATCATGGCGGAACTGGCATATTATGACTGCTCAGACTCACTGCTCCCCATCCACGACACAACAGAAACCATCCTCGTCCTCCCTTTACGAGAGTTTATTCTATTCATCTTTTACAAAGACAGCGAAGAATCACCCCGGGATTCGAGTATCTCTAGGTAAGTATGTTTCTTCTAAAGTTTTATGTATACTCGAGCCGACCTAAAGTTTTCACAGAACAACCATACCATGCGTCTTAACACACCAACATCGAATTCGGTCGGAGAAAAAGTCCGAAACCACATCTTCAACACCGTAAACGACCACTGGGGAATCAGCCAATTCTCCAAAACCAACCTCCCCCTCCCCATCTTCCACATCCACTTCATCGCCCACCCAAACGAGGACAACTCTGGTAGCGACGGGCAACAACCCACCAACCACTGGACCATGTACCTCGAAACATCACCAACTTCCTCGGTCCACGTTGACGTCGCTCCAGATGGTAACGATGTTGCGATGGTCATGCTTGACACGGAACAGGTCAATTATGACGCCTACAACGTCTTTCACAAATCGCTTCCTGTGATTGGTGAGGGCTGTAGTGTGGCGACGGTTCTAGATGTCTTGATTACAAAGAAAAGGGACGTGTATAGGTTCACTCCGGTGGGTGAAGGATGTCGATACTGGCTCTCCATCTTTGTACTGGATCTGGTGGATGCTGGATTGGTGAACAGGGGAAAGGCTCAAGACGCCATTGATGGGCTTGGGATGTATTGGTCTTTTCCTCCTGGCACTGGCTCATTTGCAAGAGAGATTGCATGGGGTTCTCTCACTGTGGGAGTTGGCTTGTTTATGCTGCAAGAGAATTGTAAATAAGAGGAGAATATAATCAAGGGGGTTCAGGGATCTGAATGCCAGACCAGGGGTTGGGTAGGTAGGTCAGCCATAGGCCGAAAAATAATAATTTGGAACCCTCTATAAGATAGTCCTAAATTGGTTTTCCAAGGTGATTTACAGTATTCCTGCATCTAAAATATCATTGTATAGTACATTATCTTGACTGGATATTATATTTCATTATATCTGGCCCAATTTCTGGCTTCAAAATTGTTTTTCATAGTCTAATCTTCATCAAATTTTTGTCTAATGTTTTAATCAATTACAATTTACTGACAAAACAGTTAGAGACCAGTTTTTGACACCGATGGGTATGCTGTGTGACCTGATTTCAAAACTCGAATCATCTTGATGCTTTTGACACATCAGACACTCTAAACGGATGCCTGTGCAGTGTGGTATTGCACTCAGGATGCAATGGCTTGGTAAAATGTAAAAGGGTTGGATGTGAGACTCAACAGGTGAGTATCAGTCTTGCACAAGTTAATCACTACACTCACTTATTTTTTAGTACCACCTACAATGTGTTGCATTGGAGATAGCCCCACGAAATTGGGTATGCGAAGACTTAGAGGATTAGAGTGATGATGATGATGATGTCATATTGCCATATATAGGCATGTGCCTGATTACGTAGGTAGATAGGTCAAGCACACAGGGCCTTACCAAAAAAATCGACCCCAGCTACTTTTTTTAAATTCTTGAACCCCCTTGAATATAATAGGATCTTGTTCCGGATCAGAAGCATCAGATAAAACTGGAAGAAACTTAAAATATATTCTCTCTCTTGTCTAGGGTTTATCTGCTACCCCAAACTAAGATATATTTTGAAAATGATCTATTTAAGTTTTGAGAAGAAAAGGGGAAGGTAGTCACGATATACTGTAGCATTTCATTCAATTCGACAGGGCCCGTGACGCGTGACAGGCCTGTCGAAATTTTGGTTTCGACAACCACACAAATTCGCCGTGACAAGCCGAAAATTTGGGCAAATTTTCGACCACTTAGCGCCGCAGGCCACGAAAAA